CGTGACTGAAAGAACACTGCAGAAATTTTATTTCATCAGCTATGTGAGTTGCATTTCCTGTCCTGATAAACACACACTACAAAGTCCAAAAGCACTTCAAGTTATCAAATTGCACTTGATTACTCAAGTCTTAATAATATACCAACCTTTCATCATCCTGAACATGTTTACGGTATTTCAGTGCTGATCTTTTTCTCAAAAAACAAAACCCGAGCAGAACCCAAAACTTTTGTTTGCTAGTCTATGCTAATTCCATTTAATTATTGCATTTCTGTTGTATAATTCCTTACTTTCTATGCATTCCTTGATACTCAACTATATATGGACTGAAATTTGAAATTAAAGCTGGTATATAGCTATTACATTATTACATCTATCTAAATTGATTTCACAGAAGAAATTAAGAGCCTCCAGGAGTTCTGTTAATCCTATTCACATTAAGTTTGCACTTACAGAAATAAGTTGAAACTCTGATAATATAGTTTCACTTCTGGGGAATATGTAACACAAAGCTAGGCTTTTGTTAGTTTATGAGCTGCCAAAATATCTGTGATGCCATGTACAGTGCAAGTTCTATAGACAGGGTTCTTTGGAGATATGTGGATAAACCACTGTTTGAAGGCTACAGCTAATGTAAGCATGAGCAAATTTACACTTACAGCAAGAAATCTGGCTTGGGACTGATACAGTCTGACATCAGTGAATGGTCTAAATTTGCAAACTCAGTGAATAATTGTAGGATGAGCTTCTTTACCATGAAGTGCACTGGTTCTTCCTGCAATCATTCACTACAAGGTTTGTGCTCACATGGTACTTTGACCTATGACATCCTCACTAAAATAGCCAAATAAGGAAAGGTAGGTTTTTTTGTGAGTCACCATTCTTTTAGTGCCTTTTGTAACTATTAACATTCAGTTGATTTTTTCTGATCTTCAGCCAGAAGAAAGTATCCTGAGGACTGTTGTTCAATGCAGGTCCTGTGTTTCTCCTGCTCCAGGCAGAGACTGCTTTCTTTTATGGGTTCAGTAATAGTTAGCTCTGGAAGCAGTCTTTGAATTTTCCCTGATGTGGGTTGATGAGGAAAGACCAGTCCAGAGAAGCTGTCTGCATCATTCCTTGGGGCCAGGCAGCCTTTGGACTCTAGAAACTCTTGCAATATTTTCTTTTTAGCTTTGTACAAAGACCTTTCACCTGACTAAGACAGCTGGCGACAAATCTAGCATCCCCAGGGCATTCCTGAGTTTTCTTAGCTGAGGATAAGATGGATATATCTTACTTTTATATTTACTGAGCTTTCAACAACTCCAGAATAGCAAACAAAAGCCTTCATTACTATTACTATTACTATTACTATTACCCCAAGTTTCTTGGGATGTAACCTCTGTATTATTTCGTCTGTGTATAAAGAATCAAAGAGAAATATGTCTCATTATGAATAAAAAATGTAACATCAACCCCCAGAATTTATGGCTTAATTATTCCTTACAAAGTATTCTGACTTCACAAGACATGTAGGAATGTTTGAGATTTTAGCAGGTGTTAAATTCAAATTTACTGGATTGCAGTTGGCTGCTTTGGATCTTACTCTGACATTATTATTAATCCTGACTAGTTGGCTTCTTTAATTTTTCCCTTAGTTTCTGATATCCTATGTGAAGATGAGAAGATCTGCTCCTCAGCAAGTGTGAAAATTACTCTTAAATTATATACTCAAATCCATACACAGGTGATATTCAAATGCAGTGCATGCTGTGGGTAGTTCTATGCAGTCCATATTTTTCCCTTTTACATCCTGAAATTGCAACATATTCCAAAAGAGGCAACGAAAATTGATTTGTAAATCAACAACTGAGAAGATTGTGATAAGCTTAAACTCGTGAAAGCTTCAGAAAATAAAGTTTTAAAACAGATTTTTTTCATTTGAGGTTTCTTTGAAAAAAAACAAATCTGCAGTCAAAAGGAAAGAAATAAGGGAAACTTAAAAGCTGTAGCTCAGTGGTGGGTCTTCATTATCTCCAGGGTAAATGTGGCCTAAGCCACTGATGGACTTGGGACAGCATTTTTTATCATATCCTCCCTCTGAATTCTTCTAACTACAAATTACTACATTTAGCAGAAAGGAAAATGATTGCTCCTTTATATTAATTGATGAGGGTGTAAGACAAAATTTATAATGAAAAGATGCAGTAAATAATTGTAAATAATTGTAGACATGCTCCTAGTAACTAACAGCCAGTTGTGTGAGGCATTGCTCATCATGACAAAGCCAAGATGAATTGCATACAAACCACATTTACAATTCTGTACAGTTTAATTATTTGAGTAATTTAAATTTTTAGTCGCAGAAATCTGCTAATGCACCTGATGTTTTCTGAAAGACATCTCAATATTCAGTTGTTTAGACAGCTAGGAATAAGAGTAAAATATCTTTTTGAGCAAATATGTGCTTCGCAGCTGTGAATAGATAGGGAACAAAGTTAGCTGTTCTGAAAATCTAATTGCATCTTTATCAAAATTGCCTCCCCTTCCTTCTGCATTTAAAATATGTCATAGTCTTAGGTGGCTTTTTTTTTTTTTTATCCTCTCCCACAGGTATTCATATCCTGTGGAGTAATCTGAAATAGCTGCTTTTGCTACCTTGATCAGAAGAACCTGAAATCGTGGATGGATAGAAGAGAACTGCATTCAAGAAAGGTTTGGAAATATCTTGTTTAATATTATTCTTTTCCTCTCGACTGAACAGAGAGATATTGTTACCCAGTGCTGTTAAAAAAGTAGGGTCTGATCTAAACATGCTTTTGAAACTGAAAAGGTTAAAAGTTCTTAGCATTGTTTATAGTCTGGTCCCTAAATTTTGGATGTGGGTGGATTTCTTAATGAGTTGTTATTGTTCTGGAATGCTGTGCAATTTTGTTGATCTTGTCCAGCTAAAAAAAAATAATCTGGATATGGCAGAAGGTATGAAATTATCTAATCTCGAAGCTTCCAAGATACAAAGGGTACAAACACTAAGGTGAAAGCAATGCCTTCTACAAATGTGTGAAAATCAGTTCATAAACCAAAGGCTCTATGTAGCAAATTTTTAGATTTTGTGTATTTGCAGAAACCTGTGTGTACATGATAATGTATAATACATCCAGAACCAGGAGAAGCTGGTCAGCATTTTCATAAACAAATTTCTGCATCTTTTGTCTTCATACTAGTAAACATGGGTTGGTTGAAGAGCATAATCCAGGCTGAAGTTGGAGGTGAAAGCCATATTTAAAACTATCCCCAGTATAGCATGTTGAATGCTTATAAAATTTGTCACTTTAATCATAAATGGAATTTTTGGGCAGATTAAGTTCAAACTTAAAAGTTTGTACGCTGAAAGATATATGCAAGACAATCACTTTTAACTCTAGAGAACCTTACTCTAGACTGAAATACTCCCCAGTGTATGGATAGAAAGATCTTGTCTCAAATATTTGCCACACAGTCTATTGGAAATATAACATGTTCTCAGTTTCAATTTTTAAATTATTTAAAATTAGTAGCATGGCTTATAGCTGACTACAAAATTGTATTCAACTGAGATAGCAAACGTGACAGTTTTTTACTCTCTTTAGTGCAGTTTGGTTTTCTTTTCTAAGTAAACTTCCTCTTTTCTTTCTGCTTGAATAGACTGAGCTTTCAATGATTCCTGCAATCATGCTCACCAAAAAAAAAAAAAAGGAAAGAAGCTGGAGTTGCATATGCAGCATATACAGCTTGCTTTTCTTGTAATCTGGCTTTATGTCATGTGCCCATGTCCTTATGGTCATGACAGATGTAGTGTTGGGGCAAGCGCCCTGAGTGCAGCTTTTCATTGGATCTCCCTTTTGTGCTCTTGACTCATGTAGATTCAATTCTCAGTGAAATCCGGCAGTAATTGTTATATTTGGAAGCTGAGTTATTTTCTCTCAGTTTGAAAGTAGTCAGAAATTACAGGCAGTCACAAAACTTTACAGATTTCAGTAGCAAATACTCGGCAAAAACATCTCTCTGTAGCAGACAGACAGAGTAATTAGCAATGTAACAGGGAAACTCAGATGTGAGTTGAGTTCACCATCTTGAGGGTTTTTTTGAGACTGAAGATTATTCTTTCCAGAGCTGATTTTTGTATCAAGACAGTGGTTAAAAACTGTAGTTCATACCTATTGTCTGATCTCAAATTTCTGGCTTAAAATTTCAGACTTGAAATTTCAGACTTGCTCATAACAGATCACAAAGCTGCTTTAACAATAAGTCTGAAAAATGTAAATGGGTGAATTTCTGTTCACCAGAAAGCTGTGCATGAGGATTTCCTGGGTGCTCCAGCAAAAATAAGAGCATTTTAGCAGCCTAGACTAAAGGAATCCCCCATGTATCAGTGGTGATGAGAACCAAAAGGAGTTCTTGAGGTATCTACTTCCTCATCGCTTTCTGTTCCATCTATATTCTGCTTAGGTTTCAGCCTGCATGGTTTATTAGACACATGGGAATGCATAAAATAATATCCCATCGAGAAACTGAATATTCCAAATATTAACTTATATAAAGTGTGAATAGAGGTGGACAGAAATGGCATTCCCCCATATGTTAAATAAGGTAATGAAATAATTACATAAATGAATGTGGAATGATGGAACAGGTGTGCTTACAACCCTGAGTACAAGCCAGACAGTGAGTGGTGCTGACAGGGAAGGAGTAGGATTATGTGAGGCCCTATGAATTTTAACAATAGTTGTGATAAATACTGAAGTACAGAAAAGCTGAACTGAATATTGAATCTCTTTGCTACAGCTAATTACAGGCTCAGGTGGAAATCAGTGGCAAGTTTCCATTCTAACAGTCTGCCTACTTCAAGCCAAATAAATAAAGAATGAGATGCTTGGGGGGGAGAAAACAAAACCCATGTTTTCCTGCTTGAAGTACAAGATTGTAAGAAATAGTATTTTTTCGTTGACTGAATGATAATATAATGTAAAATTATTACCTACCTTAAGTTCTCTAAAGAAGATGCTACTCCTCGCCCATTCAACAATGGAGAAGAGGGTTTGGTCAGCCATTTTACACATAAGCCCGAAAGTGTTGAGCTTCTCGTGTTTGCTTCTGTTGGCTTGCTCTTGCTGCAGATATGCCATGATTTTAGCTTGGACTTGTGGCTCATCAGGCTCACATTTCAGGAGTTCCAATATCAGATGTGGGATACTTGCTGGTGAGCTTGTTTGATAACTATCCATGTATGAGTAGCCCATTATTGACTCTGGTGAGCTAGTGTAAGGGTCAGGGTACTCGGACTTGATAGCACGGCTTGGAAAATGGCCATAGGTTTGGTAGCCTTGCAAACTGCCATGGGGTGGCATTGTCATGCTGATCGGAGAGGTCACAAAGGGACTCCTGTCATAGTCTGTAGGAGGCAAGGCAGTATGGTTCAGAGGTAGGCCTTTAGAAGCTGAATGGATGTTCTGGATTGCAGAGGATATTGTCAGGTCGGTTGGCATTGCTTGGATCACCTGAGTCATGGCTTCCAGTTTCAGTCCATTTGCTCGGATAAGAGCTTTCTTCTGCTGCTTCAGTGCCCTGTCTCTCTTGTACATTGGTCCAAACTTGTTTCGACCACCACGCATTCGGTCAGCTCGCACAGCTGCCAGGGGAAAGGAGAAAGTAAATCATTACTAACGCTTGGAATCGACATTTGTAATCAAACATATATTAGGAAGGAGCAGAAATGTAAAAATTTGACTCTTTTTTAAAATTATTTTTCCAAATTCAGAGTTGCACTTTTATTCCTAAGGAAAAGGATTTATTTTGACTTAACAAATGTCACTTTTTTCTAGTAATTTAAATGTCACATGCATTTATTACTAACAAAGAAGGACTCCTCTGTACATTGATTAGGACACAGGGACAAACACAATGGATGGCTACAGGAATTTCACACCTGCTATGGGATCATGTGGAAATCTCAATGTACATTTGGGTTTATATCAAGCTACTATGTCATTAAGAAACAAGGGCTGAAGTCCAGAATTTGTCTGAGACGTATCCAGCAGACCACACTGTCTCATTATAATCATTCCACCGCAGCAAAACATCTGAAATGTAAATTGTGAAATGTTCAGTAGTCACAAAGAGGAATACATTTCTCTTGGCAAAAAGGAAACATTTCCTTTTGATGGTTCTGTCCAGGTTGGTGTAAAACTTTGAGATTTCTAGTTAGCTGAGCTCTATGGAAATGTTTAGCTGCAGTTGGAATGTGCAGAGAGAAAGCTGTCAGCTTGCTGCCTTCTGCATGGAAGACAGAAGTGAAACAGAAACTATTGACATTGTTCTGGCTTATAGTATCTCTGGAATTAGAAATAATTAAAACAAATCCTACTCAACAGCTGCCTTGGGAGTCATACTGGTGGTCTCTGTCACGGCAGTGTCTGTCACCATGGGATATATGTGATGGACTAGTGAGGAGCTTTCACCAAGCCCACCTTGCCCAACGGCAATTAGATTGAAAGAGGAACCTTTGACAGCCTGGTGACATGTTGAGACTGCTGAGATTGCTGGAGGTTAAGTTCTTGAGCTTTTTATCTTAGGGATTAGTAGGACATTAAAAATTTATTATGAATGCTAGATACGCATAATACTGTACCTTATCACGTAAGGACTTTAACGTTTAATGATTTTTTTGTTCCATGGTAGTTTATGAACTTGACTTTTAAGGCTATATATATCACTATCAAGGAAATACACATATAAATGTCACAAGTATTTACAATTAAGAGAACACATGTTATTCCAATTTTCTAAACGGGGAAAAGAAGTCGTATGGATGTGTAGATAAGAAAGCTAAAGTACATTTTCTGTAGTACCTTTAAAACTACAGATGTTTTGCTTGAATTTGTAGGAAAAATGAGCTGCCAATATTACTGCTGAATGTTGACTTTTAACAAAATACCTTAAATTAATTTTATCACTAGTAAATGTAATTAATTTAAAATCTGTATACAGAGTATCCTCACTGGTACTCTGCAATTAAAAACTGTGAGCCAAATTGGATTAGCAAGTGCTTTTGTATACATCCCACTTAAATTTAAGGTGAACTTTGTGCAATGACAGAAGACAAAGTTTAGTCTTGTATCATCATCAGCAAGTGAGAGGAGTTAAAAGTAGGAGTAGACAAATGTGTTTTATCCTTCTTCTTAATGTCAACAATGACAAAAGGATTCTACATGTGCTGTAATTGTACTATTTGAATTTGGAAGCACATGCAATGATTCAGGATGTTTAGTGCAGTGTGTCAGTGCTAGCTCAGTCTTGTGGGCAAATACAACACTATTGAATCAGTCAAACTGCAGGAGGCTGATTTTTCTGTTTATCTTCAGTTATATCAACAGCTTCCCTTTGCCAGAGCCTGGTGACTGCCTCTTGTCCTTTCTGGTTCCCTTCATGTCTTACAGTTTTCCTCCTTGGCCTGATTTTTTTCTGGTTAAGCGTCTAGGGTGAATGTCATTGCATACAATTGTAGCAGTAAGGAATTTAAGAGATTGTCCTTGGTCAAGGAAAAATGTCATCTGCTGTGAAATCTGAATTTTAACATTTTATATATCAAAGTTAGAATGAACCATGCATGATTCACAAATTGAAGTTGATATTTTTGCATTTGGTTATCTCAAAGGGTATTGTACACTTTTCATTGTTCTCTGTAGATGAGAAAGCAAAATGAAGTCAAAAAGTGTACTTCAAAATGCCTTATCCTCTTTTAATCACAATAGCCTTGCAGGTGTAGCATCACAAAAATATAGGACACAACTTTAGAGATTATTTTGTTCCTTAATCTCAAAGGCATGTCAGTGTGAGAAAAACCCTTATATTATCTGTTTCTTTGTGTTCTGCCTTGTTGTCAGAAGAACATATGTAAAAAAACCAAAACAACCAACCGTAGATAAAATACAAATAAAATCAGATCATTCTCCGTAGCAAATGAATAATTTTTTTTCTAATCTGGACAGTTGTTTTATATTTAATCTAAATTAAGTCTTTTTTAAAAGCTGCAAAACTATTCAATCTACATCCATGAATTCACAAACTTCAAAAGCCTGAAATATCAAACTATATACTTATATGACAAAATGGATTATGGTTTTCACTGCTTCCTAAATGGTAGTGATCTACCATTTACTTATTAGATTTTTTTTAAATAAAGCAACAATTTCACTGACCATACAAAGTAACCTTTTATTAACATTTCAAAGCCATAACTATATAACTTTTTAATATACAATACAATGCATTAACATCTTATCCTATAATTTTATAGTATAGTTGAAGATATCAAGACTATAGCTCTTACCTTCCAATTTCATTCCAACACTTAGACATTTTTGAAATCGACAGTAAGGACATCGTTTTCGCTGTGTTTTGTCAATCTGGCAATTCTGATTTTCTATACATGTGTACCTTTTGTTATTCTGGACTGTTCGCTTAAAGAATCCCTGTATGATAGACACAAAAATTAGCCTGTTTTGCTTGAACGTGTGTTTTCATTCAGCATTTTATGGAAATCATTGTAAGATAATTTTCAGATGCCAATCAAGCACTTACAAAGTTACATAGTTTATTTTAAATTAGCAGCTGAACCCAGAAGATAGCCACTGGATTCCAGAGGAGGTTTTCTTGTGTTAGTGCTATGTTTTATAGACTTCATGTCAAAGCTTGGCAAGACTTTAAGGAGGCTGTAGCCTTCTGTGCTTCTAACACGGGTGGCAGAAATAGTGACACTGACTGTTTCCTTTTGTATTCTTAAATCATTGCAGAATTATTAAAGTCTTCCTTTTCAAGTAGTTTTACATTAAATAAGTAGTTGCAAAGATAAGAGTAGTACAGAGTACCTCTGGCTATTTTACATCCTAGTGGGACATGCTGGAGGAGGCATAGTAAGTGCTTGTCATTCACTTTTCATTGATTTTTTTGGTGAAAATATAGTGGGCTTAGTTAATTTTTCTATGCAACTGAGTGTTTTAAATTGCATTGTTCTGGCAAAGGAGCTTCACTTACAGTGCACTGCTTAAATAACTGTAAAAACCCTTGAAAAAATTTTACATGAAAAATCTGACATAAATTCACAATTATTTAAACCTTATAGCACAATAGACCAACACAGGTATATTCATCTTTCTATATGTTAATTAGTTACTTGACTTTGTGTGTCCAAGTGACAGTTAGAGTTTGCATGAAAAAGTACATGGTCATTATAATCGCAGAGATCTACACTGCAATATTGAGGAATGAAAATAAAAATCTTAAGAAAGCTGCATTAAATTTTGCAAAGCTGATCTGCTTGAAAGATAATCTTCCTACTTTATCCTCCAGAAAAAGAAATATAAATCAACTAAAACCAGTATTTAGCACACTTAGCAATGAAAATTGTTCTAGAACTACATCAGGACAGCAAAACACTAAAAAACAGTGACAAAACTACAATGTGAAACAGTCCAAGTTGTTTGCATTTGTGCAGATGTCTCTCTCAAAGAGACTTTTACATCCTAAAGCTTTTTGGTGGTTAATTATTTTATGTGAATATATTAAGAAACATATAAAAATAACCCAAAATATTATACATCTGTTTTATTTATTATCCTTTTTTTCTGCTTGTATTTGAAACATTTTTACTGTACTTGTGTTTTTATGGACTGATTAGTACAGAACCTTGCAGCTTTCACAGGTGAGAAGTCCATAATGGTACCCAGACACTTTGTCTCCACAGACTGGACACAGCTCTTCAAGGTCTTCATCATAAGAGTAATTCACCATTTTAAACTGAGACACTGGGGGAAAGGAGAAATAGCATATTCAATTAGAATTTACATTACTAACTCAAATATTCTGCAACTTTCTTATCTAAAGCTTACTTAAACAAGCACACCTCTGAAAATAGGGAGAAAAAAGTTTTATTTTGGAAAACAAATTGCATGGTGACATGCAAATCTGCATGGTACTTAGCAAGTGTAATAAAATGCTTCACCTTCTAAGTTTTATGTTCTAAATACTTATACTTAGAGTGCCTTTAGCCTAGTCCTTATTTTATGGAATCACAAACTGAAAGAATTCATTCAAATCCGAAAATGATCAGGGGCAAGCTTTAAAAAAAGCAGAACGAAAAGATTGTCACTTGTATATTGAAAGTAATTATTTTCCGTTAAAGTTTTCTTTCAACATCAGCCCGCAAATTTTTAGCTAGACTAAAGCTGTATCTCACAGACCCAGCACTTTTGCACTGTGTGAAATCCAAGTTAGTTACTCGCAAAACCAGGTTAAAACGACGTCCTCCGCGCCTCCCAAGCCCGTGGTCTCGGGGTGACCGCCACCCCTGCGGGCCAGGGCAAGCGCGGCGTGCCGGCACCCCCGGCTGTCGCAGCCAGCAGGTCCGCGGCCACGGGGGAGACGCTTTTTAGCTGTTCACGTGTCGGCAGAGAGACACGAGCCGGGACCGCCGTGCTCGGGGGATGCGCTCAGGGTCTGCCCGGCCGGCGGACCGGGCGTCTCCCGCTACCGGGGGCCTGCGTGAAACCTGCACGCCGGCGCCGCCTGAAGTTTCTGCCGCTCCGGGAGAAGGAGGGGAGAAGCCGGCGGTCAGGAGGGAACGGGGGGCTAAAATATGCGGAATGAAAGCCCGGAGCGTGCCCACTCGAGCCGGGCTACCCTCACAAGGAGCCCAGTCAGCCGCTCCGGTTACTTCTAAGAAGAAACCCTGCTGCTCAGTGCAGGGCCGGTTTCCTTCCCCTTCCCTGCTTCTAAACCTCCGACCTGTTCGGCAAGCACTGTGGCAGCGGAGGACTCCTCAACACGGCGAGAGGCGCTGGGCATCGCCGCTGGACTGCTTAGGATGTCGCCTCTTTGTCTTTACGGCTGCCACAGTTCGGGGGCAGCGGGGCGGTCAGACTCCGCCCGAAGCCCCCGGCCCGGCCGCCCGGCTTGCGAGGGAGCTCCCGGGGAGAGCGGGAGCATTATCCCGCCGTCACACTGCCGGCAAAACGTTTCCTGAGCCACCTCAGCACGGCCGGTGATCGGCGCCTGTCAGCGGCGTGGGGCGGACACGGGGCGGCCGCAGGCGGAGGAGGAGGAGGGCCCGGCCCTCCCCTCTGCTCCCCCGGTCGCGGCTCCAGGGTCCGGCGCTGGGACGAAGTTGCCCTCCCCGTAGGAAAAAGTGGAAAAGCAGGGGTTTTCCGAGCGCCGCGCCCTTGCACGGAGCATCCTCCACAGGAGAGAAAATGGGCGGTCGGGTCGCTCCCAGCACCTCCGAAACCCTCGGCCTTTACTTCCCAGCAGGCTCCCAAGAAGAGAGGGGACAGTTTCTAAAGAGCAGCTGGGACGGGAGTTTCTGCCCCGGGAGAGTCGCGCGGGGCAGGGCGGCCACACCGGGCTGCCGGCTCCAAGGCAGGGAGCCGACCCTCGGCGGCGTCTGCGCCGCCTCCCTCCGCGCACCGCTCCAGCCCCGAGTACAGCACCGGGAACAGCCTGGTCCCGCCACCCGACTTAGACATTCACAGCGCCATCCCAGCTCGGGGTACCCTCTGTCTTCCTGAGTACCCCGCAAATCCTCCACGGAGCCCTCTCCTGCAAAGTTTCGCGACACCGCCGCTGCCACCTGCACGGTACCTGTGGGCGCCGCACCCGCGAGACAGAGCCCCCGGGTCCCGTTTCGGGACAGTGTGTGACACATGGGGTGCTCGCCAGAACTTCCACGCGTACCTCCACCTGCCATAAACTTCGAGACAGTTTTGCGCGGAACGGGGATTGTACCGAGATCCTCTGGATCTGCAGAAGGGCCGGGCAGCGTCCGACGGGACGTCTGCACCCTAGGGTAGGCTCGCGCAGACTAGATGCTCGGCAATTTCCCGGCCCCGTTTGCACCTTCTGAGCAAGGATTTGTCGTCGCGTCGGGCCTGGCACCCCGGCCCCCGGTACCCGCTCGAGCCACCCTGAAAGCTGGCCCGAGAAGGCAGGGGCTCGGCGGGGCGCGGAGCGGGCGGTGACGGGGCAGCTCGCAAGCAACTGCCGCTAACTTTTTTGGCAGAACGAAGGGGCGCTTTGCCGAGGGAAACCCGAGCGTGCGCGGAGGGGGAGCGCCCTGCGTCTCCCCCCTTACCTTGCATGTTTTCCGGCATCTGCCCCTGTTCCCCATTCGACCGGGCGAGTCCCAGGGCCTCCGTTTCCACTTTGGGTAGCATGACAAGGCGGCTGCGGGCCGGGCTGGGGGCTCCGTGTCCGTCCGCGACGCCAGCACCTGGACACGGCAGCACAGATTTAGCTGGAGCAAGGGGCGCTCGGCGGCTGCTGCCTCTTCCCCCTCTTCCTGTTTTTCCCTCCCTCTGCTCCACGCCAGCCCTTGCCCAGTTGCAGCGGGAGTACCGAGCGGCCCCGGCCACCGGGAGGAGCCGCCGGGTGCCCGCGGCTAGAGGAGCCGCGGAGTGGTAGTCGAGCTGCAGGCGGCAGGAGGGGGAGGAGAGAGAAGGAGGAGGAAGACCGGGGGTGCTGGGGAGGAAGGAGGAACCCCGGGAGCCCGCAGCAGCTCCGCCCGGGGCTCAGCACGGCGGCAGCCCGGCGCCCCGATCCATGCGGAGCGGCACAGTGCACAGGAGCACTCTGCCGCCGCTGGTGCTGCTGGACAGGGTTCCCACCCCCGTCCCCCTCCCTTCCTCCCTCCCTCCTCCTCCTCCTTCCCCTCCCCCTCCTCCTCCCCCTTTTCCCCCCGGTACAAGTGCGGAGGTGCCGAGTCGGGACCTCTAGCCCCGGGCCCGCGGGGAGGCGCTCCGGGAGCCCGGGGGCTGCGGGGAGCGAGGACTCCGGCGGAGGGGGGCCCCGACACCGCCGCTGCAGCCAATAAGGCAGAGGCGGGATGAGCAACACCCCCAGCGCACACACACGCACAGAGCACACACAGTGGCCCAGTGCGGTCACCCCTACCCGGTTCTTAAACGGGGCTGCGGTGTGAGGGTCTGGGCTGATGCCGCCCCTCCCAGTCCCAGCGGAGCCCGATGGGCCGCCAACCTCGCCAGCCTGGGCTGCGCCTGCACTGCTTTCAGCGGCCGTGCCTCTTTGCCAGTGGGCAGCCACGCTCAATCTCTGTTGGGTTCGGTGGGGCAATGCCTCCGCTCGGCCAGCGCCGGCTGCGAAGACCCCGGCGCTCACCTTCCCTCTGGGCGGGCGGGGGTGGACAGCGGAAGCCGCTGCCCTTGCGAACACGTTGCCGCCGCGCAGCCCTGGAGTCTGAAACAAGCAAGCGGGAACCGCGTTGGAGCTCGCTGTACCTATTCAGGCTTTTTGTGCCTCCCTTCCCTAAGCGTCTTGCGAAATCGGCCAGTGCCAGTCTCGTCCTTTGCACAGAAGCCAAAACCCTGGCAGAGCCATCGCTTGAGTCCCCCTTCCCCGGCTCACAGTGCAGCAAGCAGCACTATTTTCCAAGTTGTCCTAAAGAACTCGTTTCTCGCAAGTGTGTGCCTCAGCGGCGAGAGCCGAGCGGTCCCGCGGCGCGGCGTTGCGGGGGCTCCTGGGGCAACTGGGTGCCGACCGCCCGGCTCGCCGGGCCGGAGGTCTGCCTGCCCTCGTTGGCCTTTCCGCCCCTCTCTCCGGGAGGGCCCGGGGGGTTCCTCGCCGTTCCTACTGCGCCGCATAGGTTTGATGGTGTAGGATGAGCGATATTTGCACCTTGGAAAGCATCCGAGCCCCTCATCTGAGCGCTCGGTTGCCCATTCTCCTCTGACTCTTTAATCTGTATAAAGTGTTGGAGGAGCTGAAAATGTTTGGAGGTGAAAACTGCTTCCGATGGAAAGTGAGGCGCGGAAGTGTCCCCATCGCGGAGTATGGCATTTCCCATCGGCTGGGAGAGCGATAGTGAAAACTGGCGGTTGTAACTTATTCAGTAGTGCTGATGATCGCTGGGTGAACCCGCGCTGGGACAAGCGCTCCACGTGCAGAGAGCGGACTCGGCTGGGCTCTTAACTTTTTGCAACCAGTAGCTGGGACACCTTTGCTAGCTCAACTCAGATTCCTAGGCAACCCAGCACCAGCACCACCGGAGTAGAAGTCTTTTTTCCATTCTCTGTGCAGCGTTTGATATTTGGGGGATGGATCCAACGCTCAGAGAGGCCCGGACCTCTCTGTCTCCTTCCACTCTCACCTTTTGCCATTCTCCTTCGGGCGGGAGCGCAAGCGGGCGAATGATACCAACACGTTATTTCTCAAGTTATAATTTCACAATTAAACAGGTCGTCTGCGAATAAGTTTTAGGACAGTAATATGGCGAGATGCGGGACCGAGCAGTGCGATGGCTAAGACGGGTTGGCTGAAAACCATCTAAAGAGATGGCCCCGTTTCTAGGCAGAAGTAGCTCGGGTTGAGACCCTGTCTCGGCCCTTGGGTAGTTACTCCCAGGTGCATTAGTTACAAACATTCCCTCTGTCAGGCGCCCCCGTGTAGCATCGCCTTGCGCTGATCCCGGGCGGCTCAGCACTGGCGGCGACAGCAGCACAGCGCCGATTCCGCTCCCTCCCTCGGGCGCCCGCCGAGAGGGATGCGGGTCGGGGGCCTCGGCTTCGCGGCGGGGCCGCGGCCCTCCGGCCTTCCGAGCCTGCGGCCGGGCCGCCTGGGCCCGACGGGCGGCCAGAGCGCTCCGGGGGCGGCTCGCAGAGGAGCGGCACCTCCTCGCAGCCCTTCCCCGCTGGAGAACATTCCTCAGGGCACAGCTCCAAGCGCATTTACAGCAGACCATCAGGACACCTGCGGACCTGGGTCCTGCAGCCCGCTGGGCTCTATCGGGGACAACCAGTCCCCTCGCCCTCGCCCGCCACCGGGTGGGTCACGCCGCTTGACGATTTCCCGACGGGGCGCTCCGTGCTGCCGCTCTCGTTACTGCTGCTCCGGGAAGGCAGCTGCGTTTTGGGGAAAAGCCGGGAAAGGAAACGCCGCATCCGGACAGGGCAGGCGAAACCAGCCCGAGTGCTGCCGGGGTCAGGCGGGCAGCGGCCCCCGCGGACACCGCGGCTAAGTGCCCCAGCAGGGCCGGCTCTCCCCGGACAGCACTCCCCCGCGGGCTCGGCCCTAGCACCGGTCCCCGGGCTCTTCCCTCCTACTCAGGGGCTTAATGTCATTCTGCCAGGGAATTGTTTGGAGGGAGTTCCGACTGTACATGGCGAAGTGACTCTGCGAGATATCACTATGGATGAAAATACTTTGGAGTGGTTATTACACATCCACATTCCTCCGAAGTAACAGTTTAGGGCAGTACATATTATAAATGATACCTGGTCCCTTGTGGCTACATTTAATTTAACATGGAGTGCTAGCTCTCACGATTGCCTTGAGCAACCTTAATTACCCTTTCTTCTAATCTCTTCTCCATTCCTCACCAAGTTCTCCAAACTTTCTTTTTTTTTTTTTTTTAATGCGATTTCTCTCCTGAGTTTGCCTGCCTTGTTCTGACTTTGCCTGAAGGTCTTGATTGACGCGTGTAATTATAATTATAAAAGATGATGGCTCGGGGAGCTTCCAGCAGCCTTGATTAGTACAAGGAGCAAGACCTGGAATACTTTATACTTCCCTATTTAAATGTATGTACATTTACATTAAAAAAAGCCCACTCTCTAATGTTAAATAATCTGAAGCTTTTCCACCTCTTTGTTTCCAAGGTAGAGGCTTCTGTATGATGATATTTCAAGGCAAACTCCTTGTTTTTGATGAAAGGAGACCGTTGGCTATGGGGTTTGGAAGGTTTCGAGGTAGTCTGATTGCTTATAGCTTCCAAGGGGGCACAAAACCTGAGCAAATTTCAAAGTCTTTTTCCCTAAACAGAGACATTTCCAACTTGGAGTGGTCTTCTCGGTGAGAAACAAGTAGCATGCTCTCTTCGAGCTTTGTGTCGGGAGATGTCCCAGAGAAGGTATAATTTACCTTCCCAGCAAAGTAGCGAAAGAGAGCATTTGTGGGTGGGATGAGCGGGGGAGGGGGGATGTAGATGTTCAACAAAAACTTCCCAGAAACAAATGAAATAAATAAATAAGCGGAGGACTGAAACTCTTCCGCTGGGAAGTCTAAATCCAAAACCGATCAAAAAGACTTAAAGGGAAGTATTTAAGGAGGGAATTCCTCATTCTGTCTCCCTTTCTCTCCCGCTGAACATTCCCGTTTGCCGCCAGCGCAGAGCCGCTCTGAGCCATCACTCAGTGAAAACAGTGACTTCAGCCAGGCTCGGGGAGGGAGTCAGTATCACGCATCCTGTCCTCGGCACAGGGACGCAGCCTCGGGCACAGGCTGTCACTGCCACGGGCACGCAGTGGCGCTGCCTCGAGAAGTGCCCCGGCGAAGGCAGCGTGCGGCAGTGCGGCCGGCACGGGATCCCTGTGCAGCTGGGAAAGTTCAGAACGCGATTTTGCTGCTTGACCTCACACACCTGTCACGCCCAACTTTACGAGACTATTTACACCAGGAAAGGCATGGTCAATATAGTCTCCTCTCCTCTCCTCTCCTCTCCTCTCCTCTCCTCTCCTCTCCTCTCCCTGTCCTTGTCATAAGCAGATCATCCCTACAATACAAAGAGCAGACTACCTCGAAACCTTCCAAACCCCATAGCCAACGGTCTCCTTTCATCATTTTGCCGCGGCGGTATTGCATTCAGTTCCTAGGGATTCATTAAATGGAGATTGCTATTGCCTCCAACTCAGGCTTTGGGAAAGAAACTGTCCCTTCTAGAAAAAAACCCAACAAACAACCCAGAACAAAAATCCCTAACTTACCAAATCAACCCACTCCAAACACAAAAACACACTTCCCACTTCCCCTATTCTTCCTTTTTCTTCTTTTTAAAAAATTTTTTGTTTGTTTGTTTTGGTTTGGTTTTGATCCACTCTCAGCAAAATAGAGTGGATGCCTCAGACTGAAACACTTTTGTTGTAAACCGCACGCCACAAAGGATCACGTCTGTGTCCTCTTGCCTTTGTTTTTTTATACAACTAATCATTCATTTTTGCTTTACGGAGACGTCGTTCCTCTCTGGTCCGGCATAGACAGCCATTTCCAAACGGTCAATTATTGACCGAAAAGCTATTTTTCAAGCTCGGCCAAGCTCCTGCTGCCCGCCGGAATGCACTGCTCTTATGAGCACCTGGCAGCAGCGTGATGCAGAATGACAGGAGACTTCGGAGAGGAGTGAGCAGGGCCAAGTGGGTGGTAAAGCATCGCTCTGATTGCCTTTCTTTTATTGGTAAGTGAGTCATCAGTGAGGTGTCGTAACACCTCACCGCGTCCCGCCGACGTCTGCTCCGTCCCGCCCGGCTCGGGGCGCGGGGCCCGCCGTGCCCCTTGAGCATCGTCCGGCGCGCTCCTCCCGCGGGGCGGCCCGCACGCCTGGGGACAGGGACGGCCGGGCACTTGTTGCTGCAGGGCAGCTTCCCGACCGACATTCTGCTGCGCTAGCTGGAAGGCGTGGAAGGGCTAAGGCATGCTCGGGCGCCCTTGGGGACGGGGTGAGCCGTGCCCAGGGCTGGCGGCACGGCTTCCCTGAATCGATCCCATCATCAGGTCTCTTTCACTCAACTCTTAAAGTTTTGCAAGCAGAGACCCTATTAGAAATTCCTCCCTTCTCTTCCCGCCCCGAAATTACATTAATTCTGTATGGAAAACGCCTTCTAGTTCCGCACTGCCTGGACCTGTTGCCGCTAATGGTGCGACGGGGAAACGCGCTCGCTGATCGCTGCTGTCTGCCGCGGGGGCCGCGGCTTCCCCCGCAACCGGAGACGGGGAGGCGAATCCATCAGCTGGGCTCTTTTCCGCGCCCAGGAGCGCTCCGAGGGACTGCCCGGACCATCCCGACGCTCCCCTCCGCCGCCATCCCATCGCCCCTTCCCAGCACTGATCATTACTGTTCTGATAAGGCGATTTTGTTTCTGTCTGTGCTGCTCTTTTGGAGCCGAGTGTGGACCTCTAGTTAAAAAGCTAGAGCTTAGTCTGGGAATAGCTCTCCAAATATATTTGTATATACCACAAGGCTCCCGTCAGGACTGAGCGCCGGTCTCTGTATCATAAGAGATAATTGATTTCTATCCTGCACAGACAGGCTTAAAAATGAAATTTCTTTTGCTGAGGCAATTGACCTTGATCTGCTGGTGGAAAAAAGAGATGGTTTAGGTCTGCTTCTTCCGTCCCCCATCCTCCATGTTTCAAAGCTTGGAAAACTTTATTTAAAAATAATTTTTACAGCTGATCTTTATACTGAAAAAGGTTTAAGCTCATTCATAGCTATCTGTCCCAAGATTTATCCACACATAATGTAAAATAATAACTATGAAGATAAACTAGGCATAGTTTACACTGAGAAATCTTGATAAGGATTGTGTACATTTCCATGTCTGTTCATTGCACATAAGAATGCATTAATATATATTAATAGATAAGGTTACATATCCATGTAATATATACATGTATTCATGTAATATGTGAGTAAACTCTAGGCATTAATAATGATCTGTCATGAGAAGTTTTAACGGGTTTTCCCACAAGACAGATGTACACAAATCCTCCTGCAGACCCTTCTTCCTTTTCACCATATATATAAGACAAGTTTGAGAGCTGACCTTTAAATTACCCTCACAGACAAGTAGCTTGAGGCATTTTGTCAGTACTGGAGAGATCCCTCAGAAGACCACAGGCATCATCTTTGCCTCATGTATTGTGGTATTTAAAATCAGACTAACAGAAAAAAATCAGATGTAAATACTGCCCCTTTTGTAGATAGCTCATTTGCAGTATAAGAAAATGAGGACAGGAAAAATGGGAAGAAAATTGATAAAAGAGACAGCAAAATCCAATGGTATAAGAAAATAACCTACAGCATATCTTACAGTCCTCACACATTTCAAACTGTTCACTTCTGTGAAAATTTTGCCTGCATAAATGCTGGCAGAAATCCTATTCCAAATTTTTAAAGATAGTATATGTTGTCTTTGTTAATCATATGGCAATGCTACTATTGCTATTACTGCTAAACATAAAAACTAACTTTGCCAAACTCATGAGCCCTAATTTTAATACTATTAATTGCCTGAGGACATACATTAAAATGAAGATGGCAATAAGTATTCTACAAGCTGAAAAATATCACAGTTGGAAACCACAAGTAGATTAGTTTTCCTCTTATATAACAATTTTTAAAAGTAAATGAAACAGTTATTTCTGTTAAATAATCATAGCTAAGGCTTATAAAAATTGCATAGTGTCCCTGATGACACTAAGACAAGAGGCTGATTAGAGGAAAAATAAAACTAGTCAAGTATCTTTGTATTGCTTCAGAATCTGGTAGAAGAAAAAAATCATGGCACTTCCATAAAAACATTTATAAGTCCATATGGTGTTTGTCATCTGGAAGATAGGATGTACTATTAAGATTTTGTGAATTCTGGTTGCTTCTTTGATCGTATGACTATAAACCTAAAAGCAGGTGTCAACAACTGGTAGTGCCCACTCACACTCCAGCTCCAGGAGTTGTGTTTGCTCTCCAAGGAGAGGTCCACTGCTATTTATATCAGTGGAGTCTGATTTGCATTCATGGGAGCTGGAAGACGCCCTCCTTGCTGGGAGGAAGCTGTGACATGTCAGTGGTTTATAACAAAAACTAACTTATCACCAGATGGGGGAATGCACAAAATGCTCCCTGACAAGGGCAACTCAGCCTCTGTGATGGGAAGCAGCAAGTGTCCCTGCCCTGAGGGGCGGGTGGGACGGGGCGNAACAACAAAAAAAAATATGGCTGTGACAGCCTCTCACAAACCCACCCAATCTCCCTTGGTGAGAAAGGGAAAAGTGAAGGAGAATGCCAGGAGGGATGGGACAAAAGTAAAAGTCCAGGGATTTGATTTAGTCTTACAAGCGTATGACCCTGCTGCTGGTTGTACTTCTACCCTGGGAGGACAGCTTTTTCTCCTAAAGAATTACTCTCCAGTGCAAATAAGAACAGAATCTGGCTACTTCCTATTTGGTTCCCCCAGCTCCAAGCAGAGGCCCTCAGGTTGGTGTGGGTTCCATTTAACCCTTACAGGTACATGGTGATCAGTTCACAAGGCTGAGTTAGGTGAGCTTTTCAGGGATGCTACCATGGTTTCTGGCTCAGCAGTGTCATTGAAGGACAAAATCCTTCCCCTGACTCAGAGTACACAGGATTTTGGAAAGTTTCACAAGATTTAGGCCTGCTTATTTCTGGGCCATGCTTTGTGAATCTGTCCTGGTATATTTGTGACACAGCACGTGTATAAGTGGTATGGTGACAAGAGGCTATACAGATTGCTATAGCAATCTGTTTTCTCATATCCACATGATTTTGGGAACTGAGACCTTCCAGTCTTCTGGAAACGATGAAAATGGCATTTAATTGGTCTAAGTATCACAGGTGAGTGTTATTTTCCCTTCTCCTAGAGTTTTATCCTTTCACCTTAAGAAGCCTTATCTGAATGAGCACTCTTCAGATAAATGAGATGTATAATTGTTTTACTATTCCTCAGGAAAGAGAACCAGAGGGTCCCTTCATGGCATCCAGAGAGAGGAACAGTTAGAGAAAGGCCTGGAGGGGAAGTGGGACTTGCCACCTTTTCCATGTGTTTCTGGGGGCAGAGCTGTGCAGAAGAGTACCCCACACCTGTAGGGAAGCACAGGGACTCTGAGGGGACATCTGGTTGAAACACAATTGGGTCCAAGGTGGGAGCCCTCCTCTGGGAGAAGCAGCAGCTCCACCCAGAAGATAAAGATCAGTTATGTTTGCGGCTATTTCCTGCAGCTGTTGCTGTGCCCTCCATCCCCACGTTCCCAAAGCTTCCCTTGATGGCAAGGTGCCCACATCACACCCAGCATCAGGGTGAACTCCTCACCTGCCATGTCATGACGCACTTTGGGGCAAGAGGAGGAAAGTGTGCCCTGATTCCGCTTGTGGGCCAAAGATCCCTTCCTTCATCCATGCCAGGAAATGCTATGCTGAGGCACAACCTTGCAAAACCCTGGGCTGTGGAACATGCAGCGCTGCTAGGCTGGCTTTTGAAGTGCCTTCTGCTCCATGAAGGAGAGTTTTCCCCTGGTAAACCTTCTGCAGCCCTGCTTGGCCCCACTTTCAGCGTGGGCACAGCCTGGTGGGACAGGGGATGTTTGTCCTGGTAAAGGAAAAACGCCTCACTCCAGGTGTGTGATGAGAGACAGAATGGCCTGGGACAGGAAGTGTGTGGAGAAGGGCAGGGAGGTGGTGGGGACATGCACCCACTGGGGCTTGGCCACAGCCACCACAGCCTGGGACAGCCTGGGACATCTGTCTGTGCAATGCCCCTTGTGCCTGCCAGCCAGAGCAACCTGTGCCTGATGGCTTTCTGTGCCTGATGACAGGGAGCGGGTGCTGTTTCCATATGCTACTGAAAGTATTCACTTTGCTGCTCTGAAGTCCTAACTGACTTCTATTATCCAGCCCACTCCCACTGAATGACATATCTTAATTTTCAGTTGTAAGAAAGAATCTGCATTTGACAGAAACCACAGTGTTACTGAAAAGACAAAACCATTCCTGTGGTTTTGTTCAATATGAATTATCAGGCCAGAAGCAATTTAAATCTAATTTTTGCAAACGTTTCTACACGCACACACACAATTTCACTGTTATTATCAATCATAATAGATTAAAATACTGTTAATTATCCAATGATATATATTTGATAATTGTATTATCTCTAGAGAAAATTGTTACTCTATGGATCTTCATCTGTTTTCTTATATTTTTACATGGTATTGTAAAATTCTCTCTTGCTTAAGTATATGTGCAAATTAATCATAGACTCACTCAATTGTAGTGATTTTTTTCAGTTTGGATACCCAGAAATCTAATATATTTACACAGAATCTTCAAAACAGTTAGAAAACTGTTACTTACCAGCTGATGTAAGTCCATGTTTTATAGATTCTTGTATGATGGCTGCGTGAGAACCAGAAGACATTATTAGGTGTAAATATACCGTACCTTTGGGTACAAGGGGTACAGCATTGAGTACAGGAGAGGTGCAGCCTGTAAACTTTTCTGGCCTTGAGACCCAGGCTATGATAGCCTTCAGTGAAAGTCGGCGTGATGAACAACAACAACAAAAAAAAATATCCAAGAATTCAGAAAGTAACAAGCATGGCTTTGAGTGGACTCTGTACTTTTTCCAGCATTAGTGACCTGCTGTAAACCATGTATCCCATTTCATGATAGTCTCTAATCAGAAGAATTGCAACTTGTGATAGGTTTGGCACCATCACGTGATTTAGTACAGCTTGATAAGAGACCCTGTTATAAAGTGACAGCAAAAGAGATAAGAACTGTTGGCAGATAATGGCAGAGAAATGATTAACCTAGAGTGGAGAGGTGCTATGAAGCCCAGAGAGGGGAAGGTTGTAAAGTTGTGGGGTCATAAGATCATACTGAGTGGATGAAAAGCCATACCAACATGAGTGTAATGTCTATAAACTCAGACTTGTGACCTGTCTTCTTGATGTCATCACCTCTTTGCACAGTGGACAGCAAGCATGGTTGTTTTGGCTTCTGTAAACACTCTTTGGATGGCAAAACTATTGAGCATTAATTCCTTAAGGGAGACTTCTGAATGCACTGGGGATTCTACACTCTGACTAACAGCACCAGCAAATCTCTCCTGATAGTTTGTCACACAAAACCATTTTATTGCCCCAGTCCTCAGGCTGGAGAGTAGCTCCAGGTTGTAGCCATTTAGTTGAAAGCATATACTACTTTCTCACTAAAGAGCTTTACAACATGGTTAAACATTGATATCCCAGGATTATGATATGTAGAGTATTGCACTCACCTCTAAGTCTGTGAGGCACAAACCCTACCCACAGCATGTCAAATGGCTGTCAAGTGTTTGGCTTTAAACAATTTTTATGAAAGTGGGCAGCTGTGCAGATGACTGGGTGATTTTTCAGCTCAGCTGGGAGCGGGTCAGGTTCTGCTTTCACCCTGTCCAGAGGAAGGGCAGGGGCATGCCAACTCCCAGCCTGAGCACAGTGTGCCTTGCTCTGCAGTGCCACCGACAGCCTCTGCAGCTCCAGCCCAATAGATTATGTCTGCATACACTTTGTGAGATCAGACTCAAGCCTGAATAATCAGATGATATTTTATATTTCATTTCTCTTGAAAAATAGAGTGAAGCTGTTCCACTATGGGCTAGATCTGAAGTCTCTTGAAGTCAGTGAGAGTTTTTTTCTCTTTAAACTTGCAGAGGGCTGTAAAGCAGCATGTGCCTTTTTATATACTTTGTCATGGTGGTTAGATTTTGGTGACACAGTGGCAAACAGGTTAGCTCATGCACAAACTGAACTGCTTCTCTTGGCTAGGATGAGAGCTTGAGAGCTGGTCTGAAAACAGGGCTGGTGTGGCAAACCAAGCAGTGACTGGACCTTACAGCCAGGAACCCTGAATTATCACTTGGTCTGTGCAGTACTGCCCTCCTGTAGAGACCGTGTTAGTAAGGAGGACAGGGTGTAGAGGGAAGGTCTGATTTCCCAAATTCTTATCTTCATATTTGCCACTGGAAAAAAAAAATTACAAATCTGCTTAAACAGGTGCTGTATTTTTTAAGGGTTGCTGATATTTTTTATCTGTTTAGACTGAGTGAAAGCTGGAAGCCAGCTTATAAAACAGATTTCATATAAACCTAAATAATTGGACTCTGTCTCTTTTAATTAATTTGGTTGTCAAATAGATTTTCAGTTCTATTCATAAAAAGTGGAAAGAAACATCTATTCCATCAGAAAAGGCATGTCTTTGGGGTCTGGGGATAAAATAAATGAGAATTGCTGCACATGATACTGTGGTTAGAAACTTTCCATTGTATCATCAGAGACATTGCTGGAGCCCCGCTGGCCCATCTTCAAGAGCTTCTATAAAGGAATCTGCCGTATGTGGGGGAGAGAGATATTAAATCATAGGAAATATAGAGAAACTTCATGCTTTTGGCTTCAAACACTGTAATTCCTTTCCTTTTTTGCATCAGTATCAAATGTCAGGGTCACTGAAAAATGTTCTATTTTTCCCTTTCTGATACTTTGTCTCCATGGACAGAGGAATGTATGCCAGGTGCATAACCAGACAGACTTTCTTTGCCTTTCTTTATACCTAGTCCAGTAGGGGAAAATAAACTCCTAGGGAAACTCCAGGACAGCCTATATCAGCCTGTGATCCAGCAGCTCGATGTGTTTAGCAGTGATCCATTTGGAGTCCAAGTGAAACGAATCCATAATGAGGTTTACGAGTTGTGCCACTGATGTACCTGAGTTCACGGCTCATTACTTTGCTTGATCAGGAATTTGGAACTGTAACTTTTCACGAGTAAGTCCCTGCTGAGGCAGCCACCAACCTCACCCAGAACAGCTTTTCCTAGCTGTGGTTGGAGCATCATAGACTCACCTTGTATTTCTCTGTTTTTCAGTACTCCCCTCTGCCTTTCTTTCCTTCCCCTGTCTTCATCCTGAGAAGGTGAGATGAGTTAATTTTGTTTTTTCAAACATGCTTTTCTCTCTCAGATATTTCAGGAAGATAATTAATTGATAAACTTTTAGTTTCTTTTTTTGTTTAGCCAATTCTTGTGTGATGAAATTGTCCCTTGTTTGTCCCTCTGACAAATGTCCCTCAAAGAAACTGTTCCTGATTTCAAAAGCTTGGCAACAATCCCTTCTTTGGCTCTTGCACATCAAATTATTTTGCAACCATTTGCCACAAAAATGGAGTCAAAAGGAGTTTCTCCTCTCTTGGGCATTTCCATAGGTGGCATTTCATTTGGGCACATAAGAATATTAAGAAATAAGCCTCAAAAATGGACTGACTGACATTAAAAATTACCTTTTCAAAGAGCTTTAATCCCTGAGTTGTATATCTTGGTGTAAATTTAGTGAGCTCAGTCATGGTTTTGTAATTTTCCTGTAACATTTTGAATATTGCTTATCTGAATTCAGCATGTTCCTTGTCATTTTCCTATGCTATCTTGATGTAATGTTGTTTTTATTATCCATACAACTCAGAAAAGATATCTGCTCAGCACAGCAGACATCAAACGAGGGACATGATTCTCATTCTACTGAAAGTTCAGGGCAAAAGTGGCACTTATCTTGGCATGGTGCCCTCCAGGCATGAGCACTCTGGTCCTTAGAGTAGTCCAGTTGGTTTCAGCTGGAGCTTTACATAGGTGGGAAGAGATTTGCAAGCTCTTTTCTTTGATCTAGAAATCACTCTTAAAAACTTTTCTCTATTTCAGTCATTCCAGCGTTCCTCCTGATCTATCACAGACATTTAAAATTCTTTTGGATGCTTCAGTGTATTTTCTCCACCTTCATGAATTGTATTTCATATATGCAAAACCAAGTCATTAAAATACAGTTTTATGCCTTTTCCTTACTAGTTCTGTAAAATAGATTGGGAGAATCTGATATATCTGATGATCTTTACCCTTTGGATTTTTCAGTGATGACAGTACTGAAATAGAAGGTTTAATTTTTTAAGGAATTTCCATCACCTGATCCTTAATTCCTGTTTGGTCTTACGGTACAACTGCACTATTAAAATTTCTTGTTAGTTTTTTTACTTGTACGTATTTTACACATTATGTGTATCAGCTCAGTAGAATGCAATTGCATTGAAATACATTTCAGTGTCTGCTACTTTTTTGCTCAGGATTTGCAGCTTATTGGAAAGGAACTGTGGAGAGCAGAAGCTTCTGCATGGTACCTTCTTTATGGGTGTCCAAATATGAACTTCTTTCCTTGATTACATTTATCAGAATATATTAGTCTCTCATCTTTCTCTGTTTAGATGAATACAATTTAATATAAACCATACTTGGAGATGAATAATGAAATGTAGGAATTATAAAATTGCTTCCTGTGATTTTTCCTTAGTAATTACACAAATTATTTCAGTGAATATTTCTGATGACAAATTAATGTCTAGAGGAGGAGGTAAGTACAGACATTTGTAAACACTTTTTTTTTTTTAGGTTAATTGAGCAATCAGGTAAGCTCCAGGACTGCTTAAAAGGAAAACTCAATTCTGTGCAGATGGAAGCATACAGTTGTAGATCACAAAATTTCTCTTTTAGCCTTAATTATAGGAATAGCATGAGCTTTGTTGGGACCCACATTTAGTGCTAACTCTCTGCACTGAAAGATAAAACTTTTTCATGGCATGAGGAGTTTCATCTGCTGGTCTGTCTGTCTGTGTAAGTAGCTTCAATTCAAAAAAGCTTCAAAAAAGTAGCTTTTTTTTTTTTTTCCACTAATCTATCTTATTGGTGTACAAAGAGAAAGTTATTAAATAGTTATGGACCTTTACAAAGCTTATCTAGGAGATATTTGCTGGTAATGGGAGCAGAGTGTTTGTGAGAAAAGAACAGATTTCAGTGAAACAGGCAGGGGGAAATGACTTGCACGTATGTAGCAGTAACAGGTGTTGTGAACTCATCCATCACAGCACTCAGGAACAGACAACAGTTTCTTCGTAGAACACTATTACTAAAATATCAGGAATTTATTACTTTGAAAGGAGGAGAGGAGAAGGAGGTGATAGGGAGTCTTAAAGTGAATCTGAAATGGAACTTAAAACCTTCTGAACTTGGTATCTAGATTTTATTTATTTTTTAAGTTACATACATAGGATGTAGGGATAACTTTGTTTCCACCCCTGTCCTACCACCACAAAAACCTTCCCAAATCTTACTTGGAGGCAGGCTGGAAATACTGAGTGTTATATCAGGAAACTAATTTGTGAAAGACCCTGAGTGCTCTGATGAGTTTCTGATTAATTTCTGCTCCTGAAGGAAGCTGCATGTGTGCTACACCACACAGACTGGCTTTGCTTGAGACCATGAAGTAAGTGCAAGCTGAATGCTACCGAAAGTTGAAAGACTGGCAGAAGAGAGCAGTTCAGTGGCATTTCATGTCTAACCAGAGG